ACAAAAAAATAAAAAGAATAAAAAGAATTGGACATATCTCTAATATTGCATATCCATTATACCAAATAAAATATGTATGAAATGTAATAAGTAATTTTGTTAATGATGAAAATGGAATGCCAAAGTTAAAATCAACCTATAAATGAAATGATGTTATAGTCAAATAATAGAATTTTTAAAAATATAAATATAAATAATAACAAAAATAAAAATAGAAAACCTTTGGGCACATATCTAATGTTATATATTCATAAAAATAAATATTGGGTACGTCTCTAATATTATACATCCATTATCAACGGTGGAAATGTAATATAAAATTTAGTGTCAACATAGAAATCAAATTATTTTTCCTTTTGGGGTTGTGGGTTAGTGGTTTGGGTCAAATGCATTAACCAATGATATGATAGTTAAATAATAAATCTTTAAAAAATAAAAAAAGTATAAATAATCAAAAGAATATATAAAAAATTATATATTAATTATGTCAAACAAAAATTAAGTATGATCAGTAAAAATTATTTATATAATGTAGATGATATATAATTTAAAAAAAAATCCAAAAGTAAACTTATTTTCTTATCTAGATGGTGGGTCAATGATCCAATTTTTCAAAGAACTCATGATGTCATAATTGAACAATAAATATTTAAAAAAGATAGAACACAAACAATGAAAAAGTACAAAATTCTGTCGCATTTGGGAACATTTATAATGTTATATATTCATCATAATAAATAAGAATATTTGTTAAAATAAAATTTATTTTATTTATGGCAAAAAATGAAATAATAATACAAGCATTTGAGTTTATTTTTTTAATCATATTCTTACTTTTGTTAGTTTTCATTTTTATCTTAATTATGACATATCTAAAATTTAACTAATTATAATGAAAAATTTTCTCAGTGCTTAATTATTAGTGCTATAAAACATGTGCAAAAAAGGGAGAAAAAGAAAAAAAAAATCACCTTGGAAAGGAAATGTGTACGTCTAGCAGGGATTATGCCGTAGAGAAAGCATTCTAGGTTGGAATGGGTAGCAAAAGTCATCTTGATGATATGCTTCGATGCTTCTCTTTCTCCTTGCCTCTACTTTCTTTCTCTCTCCTCTCTCTCTCTCCAACCTTTCATAAACAAGGATCACAGAAACTGAATTGAGTATCACTACCACTTTTAAGAACTCTTGACAACAATAATGAATATGACGAGAGGAATTGCTGTAAATTTATAATGGTTTATTTAGGGTTTATATTTAAAGCTTCTAATCCTTTCCCGCATGCTTTGTTTCTAAATTTAGAAAATAACAACCCAAATCCATTTTCTTCTTCTTCTCTCTCTCTCTCTCTCTCTATATATATATATATAGAGAGAGAGAGAGAGAGAATCTCCCCTTCTCTCATTATTCACACATGTGAAATATTTAAACCATTGACTAGAGGCCTCACAGAGAATCTCCCCTTCTCTCATTATTCACACATGTGAAATATTTAAAAATCTTCTTATGTCTCTTCATAAAACCCTCTTATATCTTAACTTTCTATTAAAATTTATCACTATTCTTCTATAATAAAATTGTTTTTACTTTTCTCCCTCTCTCTCTCTCTTCAATAGTCAATGGTTATAACTTCTCTCCCCCATTAAATCCCTTATTTCTTCTTAAATGTGTTTGAAACTCCCTTCACCCTCTGATAAAACATGGATTTAAATCAGATGAACTGGATGGGATTAAAGGCCAACCCTAAACCAACCTTGAACATGAACTTTGGCTTGGAACCAAACTGTGTCAAACTTAAATTTGCCAACCCAAACAAACCTACCAAAACTTCTGTTCAACCCATGCATTTGCATGGGTTTGCTTGCTAGTTTACATAGATTTTGGGGGCGTCTTTTATGCTCAAATATAATAACCCTCTCAAGAATATTCCTGTAAAAACACGTGATATGTAATTTTTGTGTTTCATGCGTATCAATACTTTGAACCATGAGTGGTGGTACTGGAAGCACAACAATGCTAATCCAAGATATCGACATACAGGTCTAGAATTGCCCAAGCCAACATCTGGAGCAAATCCATTAAAGCATGATTTATAACGAATCAATAACAAAAATAATGAGATCAAACCAAAACATCAACAAAGAAAATAAATATATCAAGGACGTTGAATGGTTAAAAATGAAGTATAACTGCAGAGAACAGCATAGTTAGAACTTGGACACTTGTTTACATGACAAGGATACCCTGCAAAAACAAGCCCAGAGCTATGAAATGTGCAAAATAATAAATAAACAAATAGAAACTTGAGCTTACTGTACTGAAACTGCTTTCCTATGGCCTATAGCTACCATCCCCCAGATTGTCAACATCTTGGTTAGACATCAAACCAGCTCCCAACATCTACATAACCAAAGCATAACGAAGTTCCACTCCCTTGTAACTAGCAATCACATGTAGATGATCTAGTAAAAAGTGGTTGTTTACAAACCAGGTACAAAGGAGAGCAATGTTCTTGGAAGATTTCTTTAAACAGTGCAAGGCAGAAGCAGCGCATGAAACTGTTTGAAAAGAAATGGGGAAAATACAGCAAAGACAATCCGAATATCATTGATTAGTAACATCTGAATATCATTTATTAACAAACCCTTTGTATCTAAAACTAGTTAATTACACCTCTTTATTGAGTACAGGGCAACTATTCCTATGTATTTTGTTTGGGACCTACTGTCCACTTAGTAAACTTGGGTTAGGTTTTTAAATTCATTTTGCAGATTAAATCAGGTTTTATTTGTAAATAACAGCCCACCTTATCTAAAAGAATGGGATCCAAACCAATGAAGGTTTTGAAAGACTTCATGTCAAGTATCATAACACCCTTGCTAAACACATGAAAACCAATTATAAAACATTCCCTAAACCTTCAAAGTTATCAAGCCCCTCTCCAAAATGAAATCAATTCAGATATCCCAAAAACATGTTTTCATAAATTAGTACTTGCAATTAAACCAACCACAAACCTATTCTAGGTACTCTGTCTTTGACCATAAGTATCTAAAACATTGATCAACATATTCTCAAGGCAATGTTATTAAGTACTTAAAGCTTAGTGTTACATGATCATCAGGTCCTAGAAGAAGTATAGGTTAAAATATAAAGGGGAGAAAGAAAGAAAATAAAATACCAACCAAACAGCTTTTGTGGAAGCAATGAAACAAAGGAAGCACATGAAGGGGCATTCACCCATCTTTAGTTATTAAAAGTCATCACTCGAGTTGTACCGCACATTTTATACAAGGTCAACTTACACTAATGGGTAACCAGCTTGAATTCCTAAATTCTAGAAGAAACTAGATTCTAAAAGAAATTAACAAAGGATTATAGCTGATAAGGGCAACTTTTGGGCCCTAATATCCATAAAAATAAACTTTTTATATAATTTCTAAAATAAGATAACTTTTTAAAAAATATATCAAGAAAGGGCAAGAACACTGTTCGTTTTCTTCCTCCTCCAAACCACTTCCGCCTTTAGTGTGTGTGTGTGTGTGAGAGAGAGAGAGAGAGAGAAAAGAAGAAGATGAACACCTCCAGCAACGCCAATCCGCCGCCAACCTTCGCCTCTACCTCCGCCCACAAACACTACTTTTGCTTTACAAATATCAGTGAGAGCACTAAGAAGGAGACCGGAGACCATACAAGTAAATATCGATGGTGAAGGAGATCAGAGATCAGAGATCGGGAGAGAGTTTGGCCAAAAACTTCCGCCTCTGCCTCTACCTAATCGAAGTCAATACACGAAAGTCAACCGAAGTCACGTCCCACGAAGGGCTCAAGTTTTCCGCCTCTGCCTCTACCTTCGCACGCAATCGCCCTCCAATAGAACAATCGAAGAGCTCGCTCCCATCTCCGGCTAGTGCCTGTATCATGATCTTCTCTGAAAACTATGAGCCACTGTTGGAAGAAGAAGAAGGTGAAAGTGGCAACTAGATCGGTATAGCCTCTGCCCATGTATCTATTGAAAGGGAGGTTCAGAATGAAGGGCCAAAGCAGTTGAGTAGTGACCAAAGTAGTACCAGTGCCATGGGCTCCAACGAGAAGGTTGAGCTGGGCTAGAGCCACCATGTGCWTCCTCTCAGCTTATTTGATGAACATGAGAGAATTTAATGATGGTTTGGAGGAGGGAGAAAATGCACAACGTTTTTGTCATGTTTTGGCCCTTTCTTGATATATTTTTTAAAAATTTATTCTATTTTAGCAATTATATTAAAAAGTTTATTTTTATTGATATTAGGGCCCAAAAGTTGCCCTTATCAGCTATAATCCAAATTAACAAATTCCTAATAAGATAAGCTCTTTTACCCTACTAATCCTAGCTGAACTGAAGCTTAGTCCCAAGACATTATATGGGGCATATTTTTTTCCAAAAGGTCAACACGCCATGCTGATAAATGTCAATTTTTGATTGTGTAACATTTATTTAATTTATTGACCTTTCTGCTTTACTAAACTGTTCGCAACATACTTACAGAAATTGGCGTTTAATTACTTTTCCAGTATAAGAAGGAAAAAGAGAAAACCTATGTAGGTGTTATGACATAAGCCTATTAAGTAACTCAAGGCACCATTACATTTCCAAGGTTGTCAAGGAGGAAACTTAAAGGCACTATTACATATACCTATTAAGTAACTGATTACAGATCATACTGACTATACTGTTCTTCTAATTATGCCCTAATCATTTAGATAGGCTACTGAATCCACAATCCCCTTTCTCCCCCTGGATTCTGTGATCACTTAGGTAACTATTCAATCACTTCATGAATCTAGCCTTCCAATTTCATATACATATAGCACATAGAGAAATCACAGATAATGAAGTTCAATCATGTTTATACTTCATTACCTAATGCAGCAATATACTGCAACCAACCACATTTGTATATGTATGCATATATGGTGATAATTGATAAATACTGTTCTCTGTGAACAACATACTCGCAACAATATGAAATCAAATTAACCCTTGTATTCACTGAGACAATAAAACAAACAAGTAGAAGGCACAAAGGAGGATTAAAAACGAAAAACGGACCTTTTACGAATTATCAACTTAATACGACACCATAAAATTGTTTAAAAAAATCTTGGCATCGGTTGTCTCAGAAATCCAAAAATCACAAGGAAAATAAACAACCTTCCAACACAAAACATTCAAAACCCAGAGAAGGAACATCAAATTTAGCAGCTTAGGAATTGCTTCGCCTGTTCAATGGACGTGTACAAGCTTTTTTAGGGCAAAGATAAGCGTTGTCTCCAACCTGATAACGGTGACACTATATAAAAAACCCTAACGGCAACAGATTATTTAGGATAAGAGAGGTGTCTTCTACTCAGTTGATGTCGGTGTCGTCGAAATCATCCTCGAAAGAGTTGAAGAAATCGGCATCCGCGATTTTGTTGTCGACGTTGACAATACCCTCGGCCAACATATCGAGCGGGTCGGCGTCGTCGACGTCCATCGCCACCGTGGAGCCGTGATCATCCAAGTCCGTGAAGAAGTAAGTCGGTGATGGCTTCATCCTTCTCTTCTCAGAGACGAACAACAACAGGGACAGGGCACGATAAGTGGCGCAAGGAAGCAGAGGAAACAAAAAGCCCAGAATCTAGAGGTAGGAGTTGTACCGCAGAAGTAACCAACCAATCAACCAACGACAGTACCGTTTGACACTAAGGTGTGATCATTTCTGCCCGGCCCGCCAGTCCGGAAATTTCGGGGTTGGGCCTGGGTTTTGTATTCAAGCCCGGACCGGGCGCCCACGTCAGCCCGTAAATTTTAGGATTAAGCTTGGGTTTAATACTTCAAATCTAGTCTTAATCCACCCCACCCGTATATATTTAAACATATATTATATTATATTATAGGATAAATTTCTTAAACTGTCCTTATGGTTTAGTTAATTGACTAAGTGTATCTTTACCATTTAAAAATTGACTAATGCCACCCCTACTGTTTTCGACAATTGACTACCTCTACCCTTAGTGTTTGTATCCGTTAAATTCGTATACAAGTGTGTGTATATATATATATATATATATTCTATATAAAATCCAATTTTACCCTTACCATCTTCCTTTCAACAGCAAACTGAACTGGTTCAGTCCTTAACCTGTCACTACATTAGTCTCCTCCACCTCTGCCTCCTCTCTTGCACACACTTTCTCTCCTTCCCCTTCATTCTCTCTCCCTCTCTCCTTTGTTTCGTCTCCATTGCTGCTTGGGTTCCCCATGTCGGGAAAGGGTTGCGGCCAAAACAAGGTTGTTGAACTCAGTTTAGAGACCTACTTTCTTGAATAAAAGAGGATCGTGAGATTGGTAGATCTAGAGAGTTTGGGTTTGTCATTTTTTGTGGTGAGTAGTGCATGAGGATTCTATAGATAGGTTTGGGTTCGTCATTTTCTGTGATGAGCATTGCATGAGGATTCTACAGATCGATAGTGATCTAGAGGGTTTGGGTTCGTCATTTTTTAGAGCGGTAGATCCAGAGGGCAGATTCTCGATGGCAACAGCATCACCGTCAACTATTTGACTACCGACAGAAGCACAGGGAGGTCCAGACGGCCTTCGCCTTCACCTTTTCCTGTTGCTACAACCTTCCACCTTGTTCCCTAGCAGCAAATCAGCCAAATGATTTGAATATGAAGGAATCGAAATCAGCCTTTTCCTTTTGTTGCAACCTTCCACCATGTTCTCTAGCACTAAATCAGCCAAATGATTTGAATATGAAGGAATAGAAATCAGCCTTTTCTTGTTGCTACAACCTTCCACCATGTTCTCTAGCACCAAATCAGCCAAATGATTTGAATCGGTAGATCTAGAGTGCAGATTCTCGACGATAGAAGCATCACTGTCAACTGTTTGACTATTAGACCTGTTCATGGGTCGGGCCAGGCTAGGCTTTTACTCTTCATTAATGAAAATTTGTTAGGCTCGAGCCCAAGCCCGGCCCTGATAAAAAACCTGAAGCCCGATTGTGTTTGCCAGTGATTGTGTTCGTCGGTGATTGTGTTCACCGGTGATTGTGTTCGCCGGTGGTTGTGTTCGCCAAAACTGAGTTTGTAGTGACTGTGATCTATGAGCTGCGACCTGTGATTTTAAGTTTAATAGTGATCAGTTCGCGTCTAAGAGAGAGAGAACTCACCGCCGTCGCCGGTGTTTGAGATTTGAAAGAGAAGTGAGATTTAAGAAGAGGAATGAGAAAGAGAAAGAGAAAGAAAGAGAGAGAAAAAGAGAGAGAAGGAGAGGAGTGAGGACTCACCGCCGGAGTTGTTGTGTCGGTGAACGTTCGCCACCTCGCCGGTTGTGTGGCTGCTTGAGAGTGTGAGGATGAGAACTGTGGAGGATGTGGAGAAGAATGGTTCGGCTGGAAAAAGAAGGGAAAGAGGCAAAGAGGTGAAAAAAAGAGGAGCTATTCAACTAGGGTTTTTAGGTTTAATTATAGGTCGGGCCGGGCTATTTTGGCCAATCCCGAGCCCGACTCGAATTTATTGTGGGCTGGGCTTTTTGGCCTGAGGTTAAGCCCGCGGACCCATATGCGTGTTCAAGCCCGTCCGGGGACCGGGCTGCCCATCGGGCCACTTGGCCCATGAACAAGTCTATTGACTATCAGTAGAAGCACAGGGAGGTCCAGGCAACCTTCACCTTCTCGGTACAAAGCACTCATCAGAAATCTTTTCTTCCAGTTCCTCACCTTCACCTTCATCTTCCGACGAGTATAGGGAGGTCCAGGCGACCTCGGTGGTCTGATGAAGTTCTTTTCCCCTTCCTCGCCTTTGCCTTCCTCTTCCGACGAGCATTGGGAGGTCCTGGCAGCCTCGATGATCTGATGAATTTCTTTTCCTGTTCCTCACCTTTTCCTTCCTCTTCCGATGAGCACAGGAGGTCCAAGTGGCCTCAGTGGTCTGATGAAGTTCAGTAGGTTATTTTAGGAGGCCCCGGAGACGGGTGACTTTTGTCGATGTCGCTGATGCTGTCCTTGAAGTGGAGTGTAGGGGTAGTGTCAATATGTTGTCGGTGCTTATTTCGCCAATGGTTACTCCATTCTGAAAAATCAGAAGAAAGAGGATAGATCCGAGTTAAGAACACAAATCTGAGTATCTCTCAAGGAACCCAGATCTGAGATCTAAGAGATACTCAAATCTAAGATCCGGTCATCATCTGTCATTTCGACAGTTCCAATGGTTCAGGTAGTTCCGATGAAAAAAATGAAAAAGCAGAGGGAGAGATCCGAGTAATTATAGTGGAGGGTAACATAGTCTCTTTCACATTTCCATTGATGCATGTTAATGACTAAGAAGAATTAGTCAATTGTTAGAAACAATAGGGGTACCATTAGTCATTTTTCAAACAGTAAGGGCACACTTAGTCAATTAGCTAAACCATAAGGGTAGTTTAAGAAATCTACCCTATATTATATTATATTATACAAAAATATTATAATATGATACTCGTAATTTATATTATATATAGCACTATGTATGAAATAAGCTTATATGCCTATTATGTCATTTAATATAGAATATTATATAGGACTTTTTGTAAAAAAAAAAGACTAAGTTTGGTCAATTGACAATGTCAGTTATGTTTTAAAAATAATAGAAAATTGAGTGAGTAGAAGGAAACATCAAGTTTTTAGGACAAAATTACACTTTTGTTATAAACAAAATCCACCAAAAAGAGCATTCATGTTTCGTTCATTCGACTCCATCCATTCAAATTGTGGCTACTGGAAGCATCTCCAAGTTCAAGTTCAACTTTGTCCATTCAAATTGTGGCTGACTGGAAGCATCGACTTCATCCATTCAAACGACTTCAAATTGGGAAGCATCAATTCCATCTGGCTAGGAAGCATCAACTCGATTGATTCAAATTGTGATTGGCTGGGAAGACTCCATCTTCAAAGCAAAATCCCTCCTAGTTCGAGTTTGAGTGATTTGGGGTCCCATTCTTCATCCAAGTTCGAGTTCAAGTGATTTGGGGTCTCATTCTTCATCCAAGTTCGAGTTCAAGTGATTTGTGATCCCATTCTCCGTCCAAGTTCGAGTTCCAGTGATTTGGAGTCTCATTCTTCAAGTTTGAATTCAAAATTACTATTTGATTGTTTGTCTTCTTGTAAACTTCAGAGTTAGAAAGAAGGGGTTTCTTCTTCTAACCTCGATTTGGGGTCCCATTCCCTTTATTTTTTTTCTTGTTTCTTGTTTCTTTAACTCTTTTTAATTGATCTGGGGAGATTTAACATATTTTATTTTTTGTTTGTCGCTTCTTTGCATTTATATTTCATTATTTAAGTAATTGAATGTTGAAAAAGTCCTAGTAGAGGCACTAGAGGCAAAGATTTATGGTCATGCACAAAACCAAGAGGTTCATTGAGTTCTAAATGGTTTTGATGCATGATGTAATTTGGGTTTCTAAGTCTATAAATATGATAATCATACAGAACCAAGAAGTTCATTGAGTTCTAAATGGTTTTGATGGTGTAACTACTTGTAGGGGATAATTGTCCAAAACTGTAATTTATGTATCAAAATTGCAAATAATTATCCGATCTGTTTAGTACTGGATGGCTTCTAATAAGAATCATACAGAACGAAGAGGTTTAGTGGGTTGTAAATGATTTTGATGGTGTAACTATAATGCGGAGGGATAGATATTTTCAAGTATAATTTATGTTTCAGAAAGCATAAAAAAATTATGTTTCAAAGTTGCAAACAATAATCCGGTCTGTGTAGTGCCAAATGGTATCCAACTTTGTAAAAAACTATCCGATCTATGTAATGTTGAATGGTTTCCAACTCTGTAATAAACCATCCGGTCTTCTCCATGTCGGATGGTTTATACACTTGTGAGAATCATATACTACCTTATGGAATGTTGAGCTTTAGATTATTTTGAGGGTGTAAATACTATTTTATCACCTGAGGGGCTGAAATTTACAACTGTAATTAAAGATTCAAAACTGCAATAAACCACCCGGCCTGTGTAATGTCGGATGGTTTCYAACTCTATAATAAACCATCCGGTCTTCTCCATGACGGATGGTATATAAACTTGTGAGAATCATATACCACCTTATGGAATGTTGGGCTTTAGATGATTTTGATGATGCAAATACTATTTTATCACCTAAGGGGATGAAATTTACAACTACAATTGAATATTCAAAACTACAATAAACCATTCGGTCTGTATAATGCCAGATGGTTTCCAACTCTGTAAAACACTATCCGATCTGTTGGATGCCTGATGATTTCCAACTCTATAATAAACCATCCGGTCTGTGTAATACCGGATGGTTTCCAACTTTGTAATAAACAATCCGGTCTTTCTCATGTCGAATGGTGCCTAAATCTGTTAAACACCACTCAGGTCTCTCCATACCAAATAGTCTAGGCAGTAGGCACAAAATCTATTCTTGTTGTTGATCATATAAGTAGATATGTAGCTTGGGTATTAATCACAAAGATAAGCATTATGAGCTTTATTCAACTATCATATTGTTTAAGCCAATCTCACAGTATCATTCACCACCTTCCTCTAGTACACTTACTTTGAAGATGAAGTTGATGCTTCCCAGCCAGATGGAGTTGACGCTTCCCAATCTGAAGTCGTTTGAATGGATGGAGTTGA